TTGACTTTGAATGAATTGGAATGGAATTTGATAGAATTTGACCACGCATTTGTTGGTAGGAATTGGAATGGAATCTCTCAAAAGAATTGGAATCTCCATCTTTGTTTGGGAGGAGGGTGGGAGTGGCAGTTGTGATGACGACATTAGTGGCATGGTGATATTGGTGGTCGGAACTGGAGGTAATTGGGGTGGGTGGGTGTGGCAGTTGTGATGACGACAGTAGTGGCGTGGGCGCTAACCCCACCAAACCCCCTACCACCTACCCCACCGACTACCATGCCACTACTGTCATTATCACAGCTACCACCCATCCTTCCCCCTTATGCTCTTGGCAATAATGAGGCAAATAGATGCTTGAATTTTTTACTCTTTCTCTAATACCTCTCCGCCACACCCCTGCCCCCACCCTGAAACTCCACCCCATCCCTTTACCCTAAAACCCCACCCCTCCCACCGGCGCCACCCACGTGGGTGGGTGGTGGCAGGGGTGGTAGCTGTGACAACGATAGTAGTGGCATTGTGTTCAGTAGGTTGGTTCGGTGGGTGGTGATGGGTATAAATGTGGGGTGGTAGCTCTGATGACGAAAATATGGGGTGGGGTAGGGGTGGTAAGGGTTGGGGGTGGGGTAGCTGGGGGATGGTAGCTGTGACGACAACAGTGGTGGCATGATGGTCATGATGGTCGGGTGTCGGTTGAGGTGAGGTAGGTAGGGTGCATGGCGGTTGTGGTGATGACAAGTAGTGGTGTGTTGTGGACGATTTGGAGGGGGGGGGGGCGTGACAGTGACAATAGTAGCATGGTCATGGTGGGGGCATGGGTGGCCGGTGTTGGTTAAATCGATTGCAAAGGGATGGAATCCAAGTTTTTCACTTATGCCAATATGTGAACCAAACAAAGGAATTGGAATTTAGTCAAAGGAATTGATCATATTCCAATTCTCTTGAAACCCTTTGGATTCTGCGAACCAAACAGCACCTCAGGGATTTCTACACCCCCTCAAGTTGAGCTGTATATGTTATGCAAACCCATCTTGGAATTAAATTCTTCAAAGCTTGTTCTCGGTAGGGTCATTATTAGAATTTTATGTCCAATTTGCTTCTTTGCAGGATTCAAGATGAGTTGAATGACCTTTAACTTCACCTTTTCAAAAATGAAATGTCTATCTACTTCAACATGTTTGGTCTTGTCATGTTGGACCGGGTTCTTGTAATATCTGATGGAAGCTTCACTATTAGAGTACAGTTTACAAGACTTAAGGGATTTACCCTTATTCAGTAGCCTTTTTATCCACATCCCTCCGCATATGCCCAAGGCTAGTGTGTGATATTCAGATTCTACACTGTTCCTTGAGATCACAAGTTGCTTGTTGTGTTGAGTTACCAAAATTATCCCACACATAGGTGCAATAACCGCTCGTCAATCGGCTTTCTGTTAAATCACCACCCCCAACTAGCATCCGTGCAGACATCTAAGTCTCGGCTGCTTTGTTTTCTGAAGTGCAGACAAAGACCTCATATCATTTTTTAAATTACGTAGAGTACATACACTGCATCCAAATTCTCCTCACAAGGACTATGCATATGTTGACTTACAACACTGACAGGAAAGGCTATATCAGGCCTGGTATGAGAGAGATAAATTAGATTTCCTACTAATCTTTGATAACCCCCTTATCCACTAGAATTGATTCCTCACGTTGATTTTCTTTGAAGTATGGATCTGTTGGAGTATCTACAACACGTTTGCTTCCAATCATTACAGTTTCTTTAGAAGATCTAGAATATAATTTTGTTGAGATGTGCCAATTCCATCTTTGGATAGGGCTACCTCCATTCCAGAAAGCATTTGAGAGGACCTAGATCTTTGATTTCAAACTCCGATGTAAGAGATCCCTTTAGGCTTGAAATTTCATCCAAATCATCTTTAGTTAAGATTATGTCATCTATGTAGACAATTTGAGAACGGCTGACTTGCCTATTGAAGAAAACTTTATGAACAAGGTATGATCAACCTGGCATTGAGTGTATACATGTTTGAAAATTGACTTTGCAAACTTACTAAATCATGTCCAAGGTCACTACTTCAAGCCAAATAGGGATTCTTGGTTTTAAAAAGTGCGATGTGGTCCGAGGCGGTAAGGGTCCCGGAAGCTGATGTGTGATGCGTGATGTGCCCGGTATTCAAAAAATGCTTATAAATTAATTCTACATATCAGTTTCTACCTTAAAAATACTTACCTATCAAAATACTTCATTTATAACATAAAGTAGTTCAAAAAGTGGCATTAGAATCTTAAAAAGTTCGTGAATCGGAATAACAAAACACACAAACTACTTCCATGAAGAACAGAAGTAAATGTCTAATAGTCCCCAATCCCAAACTAAATGACCAAGTGACCAACTAATACTCCCCAAGATCAGCATCATCAAACCCCAACACGGGTTCATCTCCCTCATCATTATCAAAACCTCCAATATCTCTGCTTCCACCTCAACTTCATCATCTTCATCCTGAAGAGCATGTCCTTTTCCTCTAGCACTTCTAGTTCTTGATAGACCCGACCTGTCATCATTTACTCCTTCTTGATGATCTAGTGAAATGAGGAGTCTCATACGCCCCAGAAGCTCTACCTCGTAAGATCATCATCAATAAACACCAAATCATCATCTTCATCATCATTGTTCATCCTCCCCATCAACCACTCATCACTACTTTCCTCTTTTTTATATCGACGTTGCAAGGCACAATTGAATTTCACTTGAGAGGGGCTTCTATTTTATTAGGTCATCATTACGTTCTATTTTAATCTACAAAATGCCCAACTAAAAACCTCTAAAGAATGAAAAAGCAACGCAAACATGAAACAAACAGGATGCACTGATGCACGCATCGTGTGATGCATAGGTGATGCGACCGCATCAGAGAGCATCATGGAATCGCTTCGCATCAGCCCCTCTGATGCGTTACCTCCAGCGCATCGGAGCGCATCACGCATCGGAGCGCATCACGCATCGGAGCACATCACGCATCGGAGCGCATCACGCATCGGAGCGCATCGGAGCGCATNCGCATCACGCATCGGAGCACATCACGCATCGGAGCGCATCACGCATCGGAGCGCATCGGAGCGCATCACGCATCGGAGCGCATCACGCATCGGAGTGCATTATGCATGCATTTTTAAACCAAGAAAGGATTTGATCAATTTCCACACCATTCGGCTATTGGAAGATTTATTCATTCCTAGTGGCATTTCTATGTAAAGTTCTTCGAGTTCCCCAGTTAGGAATGCATTTTTTTACCTCTAACCGGTATAAAGGCCAATCACAGTTGACAACAAGTGATATTAGAACTCTTACGGTATTATGTTGGGCGATAGGAGCAAATTTTTCTTGATACTCAATGCCATATAACCAAGATGGACCCCTTGGCTATTGTGGCTACCAACGGAGCCTTGTATCTGTTAATACTCCCATCTGAATTATGCTTAATGGTGAAAATCCATCTGCATCCAACAACCTGCTTTCTATGTGGTAATTTTGTGAGAGCCTATGTGCCATTTGTCTCAAGAGTATTGATTTCCTCAAGTATTACCCATTTTCTAATTGGGATGTTCTATGGCCTCATCAATGCGTGCAAGTATCTTACCAAATTAAGTAAAGAAACAAATTCTGAAATTAAGTAAGGAAACAAATGCTCGGTACGTAGTAGTTAGTTTCCATAAGCAACATACCTGTATGTAAGGTAATTCCAGGTCCAACCCTATGGTAGGGCTATAAGGGCTATCATCCTGGGCAGCATAGGCCAAGGGGCATCAACTTTAATACCTTAAGCTAACCTAGGTAGGTTCCTCATGGTCTTGGCAAAAACAAAAACCCATCTATCATCATAGTGATCTAGTTAAAAGGTGAACACAGCAAAGTGGTCACCTACAACTCTTTCTTTTTAGATAAAAACAAATAAGTCAAAACCCACCAACCATTTGAAGTTCTGTTTATGTACTTACGACTCTCTTTTTCTCTATTAGATAAAACAGAGTAGCTTTTATGTTTTATAAACTTTAGTAATTGTGTTAGATTTAGTTTGAGTTATTTTTTATTTTGCTTGTGTTTATTGATAAAACAGAGTAGATTTTACGAAATTGTTTTAACCTACTTAGCAATTTTATAACTTAGATGTTATCTATATACGCTCAAATATTGTGTAATAAATATATATCTTTTCAACTATTTAAGTGTTTAAGATATGTTTATTCGATCACGATGATCAGGTGCTCAAAATAGAGAAAGAAAAATACAAGAATAAAATGTTCATTTCCTACAAGGATCTTTAAACAGAGACTCGAAAATATTTCTGAAAATCCCATTGAAAATCAATTTGTTAATAATTTCAATTGTAATGGAAATCTTTTATTGATGATAGTGAAAACATTGAAAATTGAAATCATTTAAGAATTTGTTAAGAATCTCAACAAAAATAAGAATTTGCTTTTGTTGCAAACTATTTAAAGATGCTCGGTCAAAAAAACAATTTCAAAATTGGCGCATTTATTGGCCTTTCTTCCCTGTGCATGCGAAAACTCAGGACCGGCCTCGGGTAATTCATACAAGTTCTGGTACTCTTTTGATGACCAATATGTAAGTTTAAATCATCAACAATAGAAGAATGTAACACATGGAATCATAGAATCCTTACTTTCATAATCTTCAAGGTTAAGGGGGATTGGATGAGGTTATTTATATAAATATTGATTTTTGTGTTGTTTTAATCTCTATTTAATTTTTATATTTGATTTCAATTTTACATATTTTTTTATAATCCATGATGATAAAATAGACAAATACACACGTTCATACATTTTAATTAACCAACTTTTCAAATAACCTGAATGTTTTTGCAAAGCTATTTAAGAAATTGTCTTTAGCAATTAAAAAAACAACTCCTAAGTTTGCGACATTAGGATGGTAAAGTAAAATCAGAAGTAAGTTAGAACACTAACCAAGATCCACATCTTCAAATGGGCTTCCACTTGCAAAAATCATGTGTTTGCCCACAATAGAGAATGCTTCTTCAGGGGTGCATTCAGCTGCCATGGAACAAAACAAGAAACATTAAGACCATATATGTAAGTCAAAGACCTTCCAGCCTAGTGGTAAAGGCTTGGGCATGACATAGTCATGAACCCGAGTTCGAGCCCTGGGAGGGGAGTGTTGGCGACATTTAAGTGGGGCCATGTTTAGCCTCCAAATTTGCCGGGGATTAGTCGGCCTTTGGCCCGGACACCCTTACCAAAAAAAAAAAAAAAAAGACCATATATGTAAAGGTCAAAACGGTGAAAGGGTAGCAACTATACCATTGGTTGTGGGGTTTGACATTGCAAGTATTGCTGGTCTGGTCGAAGTTGAACCTCTAAACGCTTCTAATACCTACGCATAAGAGAAGAAATTTAATTCGGTACCAAGCATAAGCTAATTAACATGAAATTATACATGAAAAGATGTCTAAACTTGGATCTTTATTTGAGCATATAGAAAACAAAACATTCTACACGTTAAATATTAGATTATACCTCCTTAGAAAACAAGCCACCAACTGCAGCCAACCCAAGGAGTACATCAGGTTTTACCTCCTGCAACTGTATGCATGGAATCGAATATCTGATTAACAAACTGTGCCTAAAAGTTTCCAGTTATGAAGCCACAACTCCAATAAAAATAGGTATTAACAGCAATATGATGAAAAGGAAGTATACACAAGAGAGAGATGAGCACATGCCTTAATCTTATTTGGTATGCATACTGGGAACATATAAAAGCAGTTCACCGTGAATGATGCAAATATGATTTATGAAGAAAAGTTATATAGCGCAGAATCACATTTGTAAGGGAATGATGATGGCCCATTATTTCATACAACGGAGAGATGGAGAGCAAGAGAGGGTAAAACAGCCGCCCAAAGGTAAGGGTCTCTGAATGTTATGAGTCTGAATGATTGTCAAGTAGTCTAAATGACATTCTGCAGCTTCTCTGTCTGGTGCATCCAAAGGACCATCGGCCTTTGCTATATATTACTAGAAGAATTACGTTTAGAATGAGTGACCATTGATAACACATGGTTCCTCTGAATGATCCTATTATAGCTTGTTCACTAACAAGGTCACATAATTCTTTTCACGAGGAAAAATATTGTTGTTCCGTTAAGTTGCGCTTGGTACATGGACTGGATAGGACAGGACAGGAAAGGAATGAACAAAAACTCACTATTCCACATTTGATGTAACATGGGACAAAACAAAAACTCACAGTTCCATGATTGCCCAACATGGGACTGAGACTGAGTGGGGCAAAAAAAGGCTTTTTTTGTTCCACCGAAAGAGGTGGAACAAAAATCACAAGGATGGGACAACACTACCTTGGTGGTATGATAAGCATTTTTTTAGGAGCACACTGACAATCCTCGACTTTGGAACCAATTCAATAGCTTCTGTGATCATGAGAGAGAGAGAGAGAGAGAGAAGATAACACACATAACAGTGTCATGATTGAACTACTTATGGAATTAGGGAAGGTGCATATGTATGGCCTAATTTAGGTGGCACACTGTACTTGGAATTTTTGGACATAATCTGACTATGCAAACGATTATAAAAAATACAACAGTTTGCTACATCAAACAGAATAGAATAAGGAAGCTATTCAACATACCACTTCTACAAGACTTGCTCCTTCCCTCAATCCTCGGTGGCTAATTTCGTTGGTCTTCCTCGCAAATGGCTTAACTTCATGGTCGATATCTTCACGCTCCTCTGTGATCAGGCCCTGATTCATTCCCACAAAACAAAAGAAGAAAGCCAATAACCACTCCCATAAAATGGTTATGGACTTTGTATGATACTTGACAGATCATTAACGACTAAACAAAGAGTAAATAGGCAATGAATGTACTTACATTAACATCAACTACCCAGAATTGACTCCGTGCACTCTCAAAAGCATCTTCATTGTTTCCCAACATTCTTGCCATTGTTCTCCTAGCTGCCTTCAGAACCCCAATTCCTGCACTGAAGTTGCAGAATATTAGGTAGAGAAGTAGGGGCGAATAAGAAAAATGAAATGAAAAAATAAAAGCAACAAGCAGATCCGGTCTTAAGAGCCTAAAGGAAATTAAACCCATCCTAAATCTGTGTATCAATGGCATTGGCAAACGACATCATTTGTCATGGCAATCCATTAAGAAAATTCAAATTCTGAGATGATTTTAACACCATGAACATTATATGAAAAATATATACATACATAAACTGATTTTAATGTCTTTATTCCCTTTTTCATGAAATTTACTTTATCTATATATTCGTTTTAATAGGGTATACAGAAATATGAATAGCTAACAAATCACATGATCCAAAAAAGTTATCAAGAGGCATTGGAGCTATTCGATCAAATGATCAACAAGGATCAACCTAGAGTGCACCTTACACGTATGCATATTGTAATTTAAGCA